GCAGTGACAGAGGTGGAGGTGCGAGGAAAAGCCATCGAAAACGCCGCCCAAAGAACTTGCCATCGCTCGGACGTCAATTCCCCGTGCAGAATCTTTTTAGCAAGATGATCCAGGATGCTCCTCGACGGTCCTTGCCGAGGAAAAAATGCACACGTCCGAGCGATGTCAAAAGAAAAACATGTGAGCACCCAGCCGGATGCGTACCCTGACTCCGCCTCGGGAGAGCCCCCCCCCCCCTCTGCGGGCCGCCAGCTCCAGACGAGCGCAGCTCGTGGAATCCAGGCCGTCGAACCCGACCAGGAATTCCAAGATACGCAGCAACATGCGAAGCTCCACGCCAACGGCGCTCTTCCCCGGCACGCCCGACTCGCGGACCTCGTGCACGTGGTAAGAGCCCTCGCTCGTGGATGCCCTGCAGCAGCTTTCCCACCGCACGCGGCCCCGAGTGCGGCCACGACAGCCCTTTGTCGAGGCCGGCGGGCCGGAAGTTGGCAATGACCGCGTGCGAGGGGCGCAATCCTGCGACGGAGTCCCGAGCGGGACGCGATCCCAATCGGCAGTCTCGACCAGTCCCCGAATGCCTGACCATCTGCCGCCCCGACACCTCCCCGTTCGGGACGAGCTCGTCGAACAGCCAGCGCAGGTCGCCCCACGAGCGCCATGCCAATCGAGCGTGGCTTCACCCCCGCGTTGCCACCCTCCACGACGTCGGCCGCTACCTCCTCGCCGAATTCGGTCGCTGAGGTGCCCGTCTCGCGCCAGCCGGTTGGAGGCGCCAGGCCCCCCGCAGCCAGCGTAGCCGATCCCAGCACGGCGGCATGCCGAGAGGCCTGGAAGCGCAAGCCTGGCCAGCGTGCACTGCAGCACGCAGCGAGCCTCTCGCGCAATGTCGCGTCGCACGTCAGGCAGTTGCACGCCTGGCCAGCCCTGGCACGAGTCCCTTGAACGAGCGTCTCCAGCCCGCGAACCGAGAGATCGACACTCTCGGCGCTCTCTTCGGGGAAGCAATCCACCCCGACTGCGTCGCGGAGTCGACGCAGCAGCACGGACATGATGCCACGTGTGGGGAGCGCGCCCGTCGCCACGAAACAAGATCTGCGGCTCCTCGAGCGCGAAGGCCCCGCTCCACACTAGCGACTCCGGCCAATGCCACTCTCACCGCCGCGCTTTAGCCGGGGCGAGCGCGGCCGGAATGTCAGGCGAGACAGGCGCAGGCGGCTCCCGCGGGGCACGCGAGGCCCCGCCGCGCCGGCCGTCCAGCCGCGACGCTCCGGCACCACAGCGGCCCGCGGCCAGCACGTCCCGGCAGCCGCACGCCGTTGCAGGGCACCACGCTCGCGCAGGCCAGTGCGGGGCAGGCGAGCCAATACCAAGCCAGCTCCTGGCGCGCCTGCATGAGCTCGCGGAGCTCTCCTCGTCGCACGAGCAGTCAGGCTCGCGTGTGGGCACGAAAGGCGCCTCGACGGGCACCGCGGACGGGATGGGCCAGAGGGTCGAGTACAGCCGGGCCGATACTTACACGAGTGCGGGGGCCCAGGGAAGCTTGGAATGCATTGGCTCGAACCCCAACGCCTTCGGAACCAACCCCTCCCGTCTCGAATCAACTCGTAAGTCTGGTTAGGGATCTGCTCTGCTAATATGTATCGCTATGCTTTGCTGCCGTGCTATGCTATGTTATGTGAGGGTGTGCCATGGTATGATATATTATGTCAACGTGTGCAATAATATGATCGGATATTCCATGTTAGGTTTCGCTATGCCGTCTCATGTTATGCCATGTTCTGCTATGTTAGGGTCTGTGTTATTATGTTTGTTGACGGCTTGGCTCTGTATGTTATGCTATGACACGTTCTGCTATGATGTGTCGCTATGCTCTGCTGCCGTCTTGTGATATTGTCTGCGACGCTGTGCTATGAAATGATGTGTTCTGGTGTTATGTCCAGGTGTGTTATGGTATGAGAGAACGCGTTTCACGGGCGCTTGCCTTGGGGACATTCAGCGGCGCGTTTCAAACCAGGGGGTGGGCCCCCCCCCCCCAACACTCGGCGCCGTCGATCAAAACCAGGGAGACTCCCCTCCACCCCAACCACCCCCTCCCAACCCCCCCCCTCCCAGGGGGAGGGGGGGTTTCAACCCCCAACCGCTCCCTCGGCGCCGGCGCCGGCGCCCGCGCTCGCGGCCGCCAGCAGCGCCCACGGTGGGGAGGTAGTGACGAAGACCAGAGGCAACCCAAGAGGGAAGGGGGGGGTTCAAACCCCCCTCCCTCGGCGCCGTGGGGGGGGGGGGGTTCAACCCCCCCCCCTCGCGCCAGCGCCAGCGCTGGCGGCGGCCAGCAGCGCTGGCGCTGGCGCCGGCGACGGCGGGGACGCAGCGACGATTACCACCACTACCCTTCACCACCACTACCACCACCACCGCCTCAACCCACAACCACCACCACCAACAGCACCACACAACCACCACCACCACCACAGCCACCACCACCACAACCACCACCACAACTCACCATCACCACCGCCACCGCCACCATTACCACAAAAAACCACCACCATTACCACCACCACCACCAACACAATCTACCACACCACCACCACCACCGCCACAACCACTACCAGCAGCACAACCCACCGCCACCACCACAAACCACCACACCACCACTACCACCACCACCACCGCCTCAACACACAACCACCACCACCACAAACCACCACGACACCACCACCACAAACCACCACGACACCACCACCACACCACCACAACCACCACCACCACCACAACTCACCATCAGCACCACCACAAAAACCCACCACCACTACCACCACCACCAACACCACCACATCTACCACACCACCATCACCACCGCCACAACCACCACCACTATACCAGCAGCACAACCCACCACCACCACCACAACCCACCACAACCCACCACCACCACCACAAACCACCACCACACCACCACCAAACCACCACCACCACCACAACCCACCACCACCACCACCACTACCACCACCACAACCCACCACCACACCACCACCACTACCACCACCACCACCACCCACCGCCACAACCACCACCACCACAACAAACCACCACACCACCACCACCACAACCACCACCACCGCCACCACCACCACCACAACCCACCACCACCACCACCCGCTCCCCGCCGCCCCGCCCGCTCCCCATCGACGCTCCCCGCCACTGCCGCCGCCGTCCGCCACCGCCGTCGTCCTCGTCGACGCTCCCCGCCACCGCCGCCCGCCGACGCAGGGCGCCGGCCGGCGCCGGCCCAGAAATGGAAATCGTCGTCCCCGCCGCCGCCGACGCAAGCGCCGGCCCGAGGAGAGGGGACGCAGGGGGGGGAGGAGGGGGAGGGGGGGAAGGGGTTCGAACCCCTCCCCCCCCTTCCCCCTTCATCCAGGGGGGAGTGGGTCCGGTTCCAAACCCCCCTCCCCCCCCTCCAAGCGGCCACATAATGCACTCTTTCTATGGTATGTTCGGTTATGTTATGTTATGTTGTGTCATGCCGTTGTATGTTCTGCCATACTATGTTATGGTATTGTATGTGATGCTATGTGATGTTTTGTGTTGTAATGCTATTGACATGGTCTGCTCTACCATGTTATGATACGCTCGTGTTGTTATATGCCATGTTTTGTTGTGCCATGTTGTGTTCTGTCATGTTCGTCGTCGCTATGCTCTGCTGCCGTGTTATGATATACTCTGCGATGTTGTGCCATGATATGATATGGTATGCCAAGGTGTGTTACAGTATGTCGGATTATGCCATGTTATGTTGTGTTCTGTCGTAGTTTGCTATGTCATGTTCTGATCTGGCATGTTCTGTGATGTTATGATATGCTCTGGTGCTTGTCATTGCATTGCTATGTTATGTTCTGCCGTGGTCTGTCATGCTCGTGCTATGTTATGTCATGTTATGTTGTGGCATGCTGTGTGATGTCGTGCTCGTCGTCACTATGCTCTGCTGTCGTGCTAACACATGTTTTGTGATCCGTGCTGTGCTATGACACGTTATGTCAAGGTATGCCATAGTATGTTCGGCGATGTTATAGTATGTTGTGGTATGCAGTCTTATGTTATGCCATGTTCTTCTCTTGTATGTTGTTTGATGTGATGCTATGCTCTACTGTGTAATGCGATTGCTATGTTATGTCATGCGTTGTCATGCTCTGTTCCGTTCTGCCATGTTCTGTTGGTCTGGCGGCCGCGGTATGCAAGGTGGGGTTCGCCGGGCGCCTGGCGGGACACCCGTGACCATCGGGACAATTTGGGGTCTGGAGGCCGCGGTAGGCAGGGTGGGGTTGTCCGGGCGCCAGGCGGGGCACCTGGGACCATCGGGACAACTCGGGGTCCGGAGGCCCCCGTATGCAGGGTGGGTTTGGACGGGGGGCCTGTTCTTGAAATCTGACAATCCAAACCTGCCGGGTGGGGCAAAACGACCCCATGCATCCTTGAAACCATGGAAGACTCCAAACCTCAGGATCACGGAAGGTGAGGAAGTCGTCAGCGAAACGTTTGGCCCACCCTACAGACACGTCTGTGAGTGCGAAACAGGGGTGATATATTCAAAATAGAACGGGATTTGGGGGTCGGGCTGGAGGTGGTGGTAGCTACGACGGTGGCCGTCCAGCAGGTCGCACCAGACACTACAATATGGTGCGCGCCCCTGGTTCACCTCAGTACATGCCAGTGAAACCACGAATCCTCGCTCCCTCTCCATTCGACCCTGTCCTGTGCCCGCTCCATCCAATCAATCTTCTGGGGGCGGTAAACCCTACGAACTGAAATTCCCAGATCGTCTGCCAACAGAACTTGTGAAATCCAGAGGAGGAGGAGCAGGAGCAGGAGGAGAAGGAGGAGGAGGAGGAGGAGCAGGAGGACAAGCAGCAGGAGGACAAGCAGGAGGAGGAGGAGGAGGAGGAGTGAGACGAGGAGGAGGACGCCGAGCAGAAGGGGGCAGCTTGGGAAGAGGGGCTCCTCAGCACCGAGACGATGCACGCCCCGAACCACGGCTCCGACCAGAAGCCCTGCCTGCGGGCGGAAGGGCGGAGGCGCAGCGGGCGCGGGCCGCCCCCTCAGCAGCAATAGAGGGGGCACGAGAGGGGCGAGGGCGACGACGGTTCGGGGCGGTCGTCCTCGAAGGCGCGAGGCAAGCACAAGGAGGACGAGGACGAGGAGGGACCGTGCCCCGTGGACAAGGAGGAGGACCCATACCGCCGACGTCGTGATTCCTTTCACAACGTCGACCCCCAGGGGCCTGGACCCATTCCCTGGGACAAGTTTTTCATCCTGAATCCTTTTTTGCGGTGCCGAGGCCTGGCGAGGGCACCCAGAGGCCAAAAAAAGCGAAGGAACTCCCGTCGTGATTGTTTCACAGCGCGAGGGGGTCTGGGGAGGAACAGGAGGAGGACGACGAGGAGGAGGAGGAGGGAAGAGGAAGAGGAGCAGGAGGGAAGAGGAGGAGGAGGAGGAGGAGGAGGAGGGTGAGGAGGGAAGAGGAGGAGGAGGAGGACGAGGAGGGGAGGAGGAAGAGGAGAGGAGGAGGAGGAGGAGGAGATTGGGGAGGAGGGGGAAAAGGAGGAGGAGGATGGGGAGGGAACAGGAGGGGAGGAGGAGGAGGAGGATGGGGAGGGGGGGGAAAAGGAGGAGGAGGAGGGGAGGATAAAGACTCTGGCTCCTGGGTCCAGCCCGCGGCGAGTGCTTGTGCTGCACAGTTAGGGGGCGAAACACCGACATCGTTAGGGGGGTGAATGGCAGAGAAGGGGGAGGGAGTTGCATGGTGAGGGGGGTACTGGCATAGCCAGGGGTGAAACCTCTCCTCGAAGTCCTGAGGAAAACCTAGGACAAACTGCCACACAGTCAAGGAGCACTGGGCCTCGCCCCAACCAAAGCGGTTCCTGCTTCAGCGGCCCGAGTGTACAACGCTCCGACGTGTTTTCGGTCTTGGAGCTTCTCCTTCGCTGGTTCTTCTAATCCGTCTCCTAGGAGGCAAATACTGGGAGGGCTTCGCCGGAAGGATTCAGGAAGATTGCGCCCCATTGGGGGCTGCTACGTTGGATTAGGCCGCGGAGTGAACGGAAATAGGCAGCGGATTCAGCGGGATAAAGCTGGATGAAACGGGGTTGAAACCGGATTTCGGACCAGGGCAAAATCAGAATCGGACCTGCCAGCAGGAATTGCATCCGAATCCGCTGCTTCTGCCGATCCTTCCCTGAGCTCCTGGCGTCTCGGTCGATGTCCTCGTCACGGGCGGTCCTGCCCTGGGGACGCCTCGGGAAGGCAGCGCTCCCCTCGCCCGCAGGCTCTCTGCCGTCGGGCTCCCCCCTCTTCCTGTAGGTCGGGTGTAGCTCGGGCATGTCCTCCTGCATGCGGATTTTGGACGAACAAAAAAACTAGTCAAGACAGATTCCCAAATAGCCAAGAATAGTCAAAACATCGACCCCCGACTACTTTTTGACTCTTTTCGAATCTCCCCCCTGAAGAAAGACATGCCCAACTTAACTCTTCAATCCGCGGCCACCCTCTCCTTGCCCACCCGGCCCTGCGCTCTGGGCGCCTCGGCGCGGCCCGCCGCCGGAGGCGTCCTCCGCGCGGGCATCCGCTGGCGCCGCTGGCGCCGCCAGGACCGCCCCAACCAGCCCGGCCAGGGCTGAAGGAAAACGAGAACGGGGGAGCGCGAGCCCGAGCCCGAGCCCGAGCGCGAGAGCCCGAACCCGAGTCCGAGCCCGAGTCCGAGAGCCCGAGCCCGAGCCCGAGTGATTCTCCACGATACTGCAGTTTGTTCACTACGTCGCATCTCAGGGCAGGGGGAGGGGGGAACATCAACCGGAAGTCAACGGTACATCGCCGATGCAACCTCCGCCGGCGCCGCCAGCACGGCCAGGACCGCCCCGCCCGGCCCGGCCAGGGCTGAGGGGCAGCGACAGGGGGGGCACTGGCACAAGGGGAGGGGGGAACATCGACCTGAAGAAGTCGACGATACATCACGGATAGATCAGCGATAGCCCCCCGGTAGCGGAGCCACGCGCTCCTCGGCGGGGTGGGCTATCGGGCTCCTGTCGGCGATCAATGGGCGATTGGGATCGATGCATCTCCCCTGAGCCTATCCTTAGGGGCGTGCCCCCCTATAGGAGTATTTTCGAGGAAACTGAAAAATAGTTTTTTAAAGAAATGAGCGAACATATTCAAACATACTAGAAATCGTCCCCCGACTATTTCCTCAGTATTTTGAATATTCCTCCTGTGTAGAGGGACAGGCCCGACTTAAGCCTGCACGTCGTTCATTTCTAATCGTGCTCATTTCTAAGCGTACTCGTTTCGAATTGCTCCTGGTCCCCTAGTGGCCAGGAAGAGGCCCAGGATAGAACAATCAGAAATGAAAGGATCTTGGCCTCCCACAAAATTCAAATAACTTCCGAAGAAGTAGAAACGAACAATGTGTGTATCCCCATGGAGGTCTTAGGGTCATAGCTCGGGCCTCCGGCGGCCGCCCGGGACGAGCTCGCGCATTTCGGAAAAACAAAAAAACGCTCTCGGCGAAGCGCAGCCGCCGAAGAGCACCCCCGGGGCTGGAAGAAACAGACGACCCCCCAGAGATCCAACGTATTGAAAAAATCAAGACGGAGGTTTTTCGTAGTTCTCGGCCTCGAGAGGCCCTCGCCGGGCCCCGGGACCGTCAAAAAACGACTCAGGATGAAAAACCGGTCCTGGGGAATGGGCCGAGACTCCCAGGGACCCTGCATTGACAAAAATCACGACGTCGGATCTCTGGGCGTGCGACAGCGTCCGAAAGCCTCGAACCTCACACGCCCGAAACTTCGTCCCCCCTATGCTTATGTCGGGCATGTCCTCCTACAGGCGGATTTTGAGGGAAAGTGTACGTTTGCCAAACAATACTCGAAGAGAGCCACAGATAGCAAAACAAATCGTCCCCTGACAATCCTTTTGCCTATTTTTGAACATTCTTCCTGTAGGGGGGACATGCCCGAGTTAACCCTGCGTTCATCCCCCCTTTGCTGTTGCCCCCGGAAGGCAGGATGGGGCAGAGGGCGGCAGGCTGGCGGGCGCGCGGCGGCAGGCGCGGGGGGGGGCGGACGGGGCGCCCGCGGTCTGGCAGCCGCGGGAACTCCGCGATGGGTATCCTGGACGACGCCGACCTCGCGGCGTCCTCCGCGGCGACGACGACGACGACAATGACGACGACGACGACGACGGCGGCGGCGGCGACGGCGACAACGACGACGACGACGACGACAATGACGACGACGGCGACGGCGGCAACGGCGACGACGACGGCGACGGCGGCGACGGCGACGACGGCGGCGACGTCGACGACGGCGACGGCGGCGACGGCGACGGCAAAAACGGCGGCGGCGGCGATATCGACGACGCCGACGCCGGGATACAAAAAAACCAGCGTCGACGGACATATGGTCACGCGCGGCGAATTTTTCCGTGTCCGTGCCCTCGCGGTCTGGATTCCAGTTCGCGATCCCGCGGGCACGCGGCCCCATTGGCTCGCTCCAGGAGAAACGCCCCGCATCCGCGGGGCCACGGCCCCGAAGCCCGGCCCGCCGGGCCTTGGATACGAATGCACATGTACATATGTATGTATGACTATACACCAGATAGCATTGGCGTTTCGCGCCGTGCGCCTTGTTCCAGACGCTTCCCCAACAAAGCAATACATCATCGTTTGCTTCAGCAAAGGGGGCCTCGAGGCCTGGACGGGGGATCGGCTCATTTTTCTGACATCCCTGCCGGTGTTTGTTGACACCGCGTTCGCTCGATGCGCTTGCACGCTTGTGCGCAGGAGTGGGGAAAGAACGATTTGTTCACGCGCGAAGGTGCGGGCAAACGAAGAAGCATCAAACTGTTGCGATGGCACCTGTCCATGAACGGGGAACGTGCAGGGAGCAGGGATGAGGGGGGACTGAAGAGGCGGAAAGGGGGGAAGAGGGGGGAGAAACGGGGAGGAGGTAAAGAGGAAGGAGCGGGCGAATGAGGATGGCCATCGGATGCCATGAACGTGGAGGTCGACGAAGAAGGCAGAAGGGGGGAAGGGAGAGAGAGAGAGAGAGAGAAAGAGAGAGAGAGAGAAAGTGATAGAGTTACGGGAAAGACAGGCGGGCTGGCGTGAGGCAACGAGCGCACGGAGAACGCCGTCGAAAGTGTGAACGACGGCGCGGCGACACCCCTCTCTCGACGTTACACACCGAAATCACAGGCCCACCCCTGGCCTTACATAGCAAAGCGCGAGAACACGGAGACGATTCGGACCAGATGTCGGATCCATTCCTCGCCAAACAAAAAGAACAAAGAAAACGAAACCATAATAAATAGCATCAGCCTTGAAAGCGCGGGGGGCCGATTCGAGTGTGGAACCATCTGGTGGACCCCGTGATGGGCGTGAGTGATCGGAATAGGACTATCTGGAGGATCTGAGAGTGACGAAGAGGAGGAGGAGGAGGAGATGGAGCATAACGAAAAGGGGGCCCAGCAACGCCGACATGATTACCGTGCGACCCACCCAACCCATCAGCAGTAACTCTTAAGGGGAGCTGGTCCAGATATGTATGGTTGCTGACAGCACAATGTGCACCAGTGCTCGCGCGAACTATGGGACGCGCGCACGCCGCGCGACTCACAGACAACAACAAACGGACGATGACTGAGGCCCCAGACTCGAAGAGGAAATGAGGGAGGGAATGCGGAGAAGGATCACGACTTAGACAGCGGAAGGAGCAAGAGGACCACAACGAAAGAGGCAGGATAAGAAAAGAGGGTGGCGATCATTTCCCGATGAAATGCTGGACAAGCAGCGCGGCCCGCGCCATGTCGCTCTGGCGCTCCAGAGGGTCAGCTGTTCATAGGTAATGCAAACAGCGAGCGAGGCCGCCCTCGCACGCCAGGTTCTTTGTTTGTTTATGTTTTATTTTTTGGGCACCTTGTAATGCGGAAGCCAAACGCCCGCACGCGCGTCGCCAGGTCTCCGGGCGGCCCGCGGGACAGGATATCAAGGCGAATCTCAATATGCGTGGGAGGTCACTCTGCTGGGCATCCCAGCAGCTGTCGGAAGTGGCGATTGCAGCTCGCAGCCCCCAAGGGACGTCAAGGTCAAATATGAATCTGCGTGGGACGTTATTCTGCTGGACCCCCCAGCAGCCCTGCACAACCGGCGACAACGTCGCAGATCGCAACCCCCAAAGGATGGCGCTGTTTAGTTTACGTGTGCATACGACGGACCCCCACCAGACCTCGAAGGGGCGACTGTTTCGCCAAAGCGCAGCCCCCCCAGGACGGCGAGGTCTAATTTAACTCTGCGCGGGACGCTACCCCGCAAGACCCCCCAGTAGCCCTCGAAACGGACGACAATTCCGCAGACCGCAGCCCCCCTTAGATGGCGAAGTGTAATTTAGGTCTGCGCGTTCTGTCGCTCCGCTGGACCCCCCAGCAGCCCTCGAAAATGGCGACAATCTCGCTGATTGCAGCACCCCCAGGGCTGGCGAGGTCGAAAATGATTCTGCGTAGGCCGTCACTCCGCTGGGCTCCCAAGCAGCCCTCGAAAAGGTTTCGCAGGTCGCGGCCCACCAAGGACGGCGAGGTCTAGTTTAGGTCTGCGTGGGGCGTCGCTCCGCTGGACCCCCCAGCAACCCTCGAAAATGGCGACAGTTTCGCAGATCGCAGCCCACCAAGGATGACGAGGTCTAGTTTAGGTCTGCGTGGGACGTCGCTCCGCTAGGCCCACCAGCAGCCCCGCAAAAGGGGCGACGGTTTCGCAGGTTGCAGCCCCACAGGGATGGCGAGGTCAAATTTAAGCCTGCATGCGACGTCGCCCCGCGAGACCCACAATCACCCTCGAAAGTGGCGACGGCTTCGCAGATCGCAGCCCCCCAGGGATGGCGAGGTCTACAGGTCGTTCATTTCGAATCGTGCTCATTTCTAATTGTGCTCGTTTCTAATTCTTCCTGGCCCCCTAGTGGCCAGGAAGAGTCCCTGGAAAGAACAATTAGAAATGAAAGGATCTTGGGCCCCCCCAAAATCAAAGAACTCTCGAATAGAAACGAACAATGTGTAATTCATGGTTTCCGCTTCCTTCGGGCACCCTGCAGTGCGGGAGCCAAGCGCCCGCAGGCGCGCCGCCAGGTCTTCGGGGGCGGCCCGCGGGGAAGGACATCCGGGCGAACCGTAGGCAGGGCAGCGTGCAGTTGGGAGGCGGGGCCGAAGGCAGGCAGGAGGCCAGGGCAGCAAGCAGGCAAGACAGGGGGGGGGATAGGGGCAGGGAGGCGGGAGGAGGAGGAGGAGAGGAGGAGGAGGAGGAGGAGGAGGAGGAGGAGGAGGAGGAGGAGGAGGAGGAGGAGAGGAGGAGGAGGAGGAGGAGGAGACACTGGTCACGACTCGGGCGTCGGTCCGCGCGGCGAGGGGCTGCGACTCCGGCTGCTCGTGCTCCCCCGCTGCCGACCGTGCCGCTTGTCCCCCCCCCCCCTCCCCCCGCATACCCGCCCTGTCATTCACCACGAACGACGCCGACGACGTCGACGACGAAGGACGACTGGGACGACGACGGCCGAGACGACGGACGACGACGACGACGACGACGACGACGACGACGACGACGACGACGACGACGACAGACGACGACAGACGACGACGACGACGACGACGACGACGACGACGACGACGACGACGGACGACGGACGACGGACGACGGACGACCGTCGACTGGGACGAGGACGGCGAATACCGTGACTGCGACACAGACGACGGACAACGATGACGACGTCAGGAGACCGTGAGAAAGGTATGCCGACCCCTCGGGAGCCCGAACAGAGCCCCCAAACGCCCCCAATAACCTCCCAGGAATCGGACAAGCCTCGTGGAATGCAGTCCTGGACGCGCAGTAGCCTATGGAGGGGTCGGCGGATGTGGCGCAAGCCTGTAGAATCCACGTCCGGAAGTGACGTGTTGCCGGAGGCAGGTCGCGCAGCGAAGTGGAAGCCCTAATGCAATGGATCCAATGTGTCCAATGCTTGCATAATTGCCACGTGTTGTATTGTGTTACACTATTATGTCTCCCGCCCTAACCCCCCCCAGCGCCACGCCACATCCACCGACCCAGGCTCACGACCCCCTCCTGGGGCTCAAAAACCTACCAAAACCTATGGAACATCTATGATTTGGGCATGTTGGCCCTCTTGGGGGTCCAACAAAGCCTCTTGGGGGTCCAACAGGGCCTCATGACGGCTCCAGATGGCCCCAAGACGGGCCAAGACGGCCCCAAGACGGCCAAAAAAACTCCCAAGACGCCCCAAGAGGGCCTCAATAGGACACCCCAGGGCGCTTCCAGAAGCCAGCATCATTAATTTTCCTTAGGGTTTGGAAAGATTTGAACGCTCTCGCCTAGTTCGACCCTCAGAGGCCCAGGACGGCCGAAGCAGCCTCCAAAATGGCCCCAAGACAGCTCAAGACGCCCTCAAGAGGGCCCCAAGACGGCCCAAGAGGGCCCCAATACGGCCCAAAGAGGCCCCTAAGACGCCCCAAGAGGCCCCCTAAGACGGCCCAAAAGGACCCCAAGAGAGCCCCAATGCGGCCTCTACAAGCCCCCAAGGCGGCCTCCGAGCGGACCAGACAGCGCAAGAGCGCATCAAGACGGCCCAAGTGGCGGCCCAAGGCGCCCCCACGGGGATCCGAGAGGCCCCCCCCAAAAAAAACCAGAAACCCCTCAGAGGCCCCCACTTGTTGCACACTTGCCACATATTGTATTGCGTTACGTCATTATGTCTCCCCCCCTAACCCCCCCCAGGGGCTACGCCACATCCGTCGACCCAAGATGGAGATCCTTATTTGGGGCTCAAAAGCGTACCAAAACCTATGTAAAATCGATGAGTCGGGACTTTGGGCCCTCTGGGAAGCCCAATAGGGCTTCAAGACGGCTTCATATGGCTTCAAGACGGGCGAAGACGGCTCCAAGGCGGTCCATGATGGCCCCAAAAGGGCCCAAGAAACTCCTAAGACGTCCCAAGAGGGCCCCAAGACGACCCCCAAGAGTGCCTCTAGAAGCCAAGACCATCAATTCCCTATAGTTTTTTAAATGATTTTCACGTTCTCGCCTGTCTCGACTCTCAGAAGCCCATGGCCGCCCAGGCAGCCACCAAAATTCCCCCCAGA